TCACTGACGGTATCTCATAGCTGTGATGATGCAAAGGGTATTGATACTTCTTGAATTTTTTCACGAGATGGAGCTGATAAGAAATGCAGAATGAACTTTCCCTGCTAGAACATAACGGCGATGAAGAGAAGCGGTTATCTTGAGTCCATTTCACCGCGGGTTATTTGCCTTCTAACTGAGAAATGTTTGTAAAGTGATCGCAAATCTAAAAAGGACTTACCTTGTAGTATACACAAGGCTAATTGAAGTTTATGCTCACAACGATCCTTGCATTGGAAGTACAAGTTGCTGCACTGGTGAGCAGTAAAATCCCTATGACAGATCGACACAGCTTCGGCTATGAAGCGCTCTTCAAATATCAGCAAATTTTTCAATTTCTGTCACCTTCAAAGAAGTGAAATTAAGACAAAAACGCTCACTCACCTTGGAAATATTTATCAGCATCGATGGAATTTGCGACCAGGAAAAAAATGAGCAGTTTTCGAAGCATCCTGAAAGCATGATGTTCAACGTTTCGATAGAATCTCTGTGCACTTATACATTTATGCAAGGACATCGAGCGATTTGGTCGATTCTGTTCGCTCCACAGACGACACTTTTCCGTCCCAGACGAATAAATGCTCCATGATATGAACAAACGAGCTTAGGCCTTAAAAGTGGCTATCGCAAATCGTCAAGCCAGAAATGAACCACTGACTCAGGTGAAATCTGGGCTAGGAAGACTCGAACAGTCTATCTTTTCGAAGAAACCTAATACACCTCCCCAAGCACCTGCACTGGGGCTGCCGATCCCAGCGTTCCTCCAACAAATGCTTTTTTGACCTAAAAACTGGTCTTATATAGCCTCATCCGAAGCGAAATTACGCGACAACTCAGCGATCAGAGTAATAATTCATAACTTGCAAATGACTTATGCAAAATTAATCATGCAAATTGAACCACTGCATTGCATTGGTATTCCCCGCAATTTAGACTGTTTCTTTAATGCCGCGGCGATGACAGAACAACCATTCGACGTCCAAGTAACAATAAATAATTTCAATACTTACTATTAGAATTTCCATTTCAGTACATAGAATAATAGTATGTTTCGAGTAATTACTACGATTGCTGAGTTTTTGCATAATTTCGTTTCTCATAAGGCTAAATAAGAGCAATGTTTTCAACAAGGAACCATTCGTCGCTGGAGCACTGGAATTGGCCGCTCCGGTAGAAGTGTTTTCTGAGGTGTGTCTGCGTTTCTTCGACAATGGGATGTTCGAAGTGGGATCATTGTGCAGATTTTGCACGATCTGAATCAGGCGGTTTTGCTCGAACTGGATCGCTTGCGGTACTGAAAGCGATATTCGGAATGGTTTGCTCGGTCTCTGACGCACCGATTCGCATCATTCACCTCTCGGCTGGCATCAAACCGAACACTGAATTATGCGACAATATCCGTCCAACCTCAGATTTGACAGTGACATGATGAGCAACGATATCCACACATTGGCGCACAAGAGTATTGAGATTCTATTGTAACCTAGCGTATGCTTTTAGAATGTTTCTGCAAGTGCTCATTTTGCTTCTGCTCGCGCATTCGCTGAACGCTGATCGACGTTCCCCAAGTGAGTGAGCGTTTTTCTCTTTGGATTTCTGAGAAGTTGACGAAAATTGAGAATTTTGCTGACAATTGAAGATGCGATTCTGGGTGGAACTGTTATCGGTTGTGTGACCAGATTTGGAATGCAGAAGTGCGCCGAAATAGTATCCAGATGCGACTGGCGTTTTAGGGGAAAAAATGATTCACTAGGAAAGGCACGATGCATTAAGCGAGGTACGTAGTACTTTCTCAATTTCTAGTCATTTTCCGAATAGTTCTGGGTTTGAGAGTAAATTGCGCGATGTGAAATGGAATCAAGAAAACCGCTTCACTTGATCGCTGTTACACTTTAGCTGAGAAAACTTTCTTCTGAGTTTTTTTCTTCAGTTCCATTCTGTGCAAAAATTCAACGAATTTGGGAACACATTGCCATATCTCAGTTACGAC